CGCGACGCCCCCTCCTCCCGCCGCGGGCCCGCCCGCACCCCTCCTCCCCACCCCTGCCCACTTGGAAAACCCGCTCGCAGCCGGCGAGCTTCTCGGCTTTCAGAGCCAGGAGCCAGGGTGAGCTGGGAGGACCCGCGCTGCAGACGTGACGGGCCACAGACCACCGCACTGACAGACCCGGAGGGCTGGCGCAAGGAGGCTCTGCGCGCACAGAGAACCCTGAAGGCCGCAGGCGGTCCCAGAAGAAGAAGGCAGGAGGCGCTGGTCCTGGAAGGAACATGTGTGCCTGAAGAGGCACGGCCCTGGCCACTCTCTCCTCCTATTATGATTAGTGTAGATACGATAATACTGAAGGAGGGAGCTGTAAGCAAAGAGGCAATGTCCCCGCAGTCACCTACTGCCCATCTCCTAGGAGGAGAAAAACTGACCTAGGAGTCCTCTTTGGCTGTGGAAGTCTGTGTCTATGAACTGGTGCAGCTGCTGGGGGACAGTGTCTTCCTCCATGGAGATTTGCAACTATTACAGCCATATCGCCTTTGACAAATCCAGTACCAACCAGAGTGCAGAGGGTCGGGGTATCCCTGCACTCCCATCAGTATTGTGAGGGTTCCCTCTCTTTCAATTTCTTCCCTTATTTCCTGCCACCCTTTCAACACCTAGTCACCCTCCACTCTTAAGGAAACTGAGGTCAAATGTCCACGGAAGGCCCCACGGCCCCCAGAGTCTGGGAACGGGATCTGGCTCCCTGTTGAGACAGAGAAGCCGGAGGTCCATTATCAGTCTTGCCTGAGACTCCTGGGAAAGGGGGTTGAAGCTTGGTGGCAGCTGCAGGAGGAAGCTGGCTGAGTATTAAGAGCTCTTAGCTGTGCTGGAAGGGGAGAGCAGGGGGAGGGCCCAGCCCATATTGGTATTTTGAAGGGGGTGATTCATCCTTTTTCTTTAATGCTCTTGGAATGTTAGGGCTGGAGGGGAGCTTAGATTCCAGTGCCCACCGCTCAATTTGCTGATGAGAAGACAAGAGTCCCCAGCAGCCGCTTGCTGACATCACATAGACTAATACCCTTGGCTTTGACTAGTCTCTCTCTCTCTCTCTCTCTCTCTCTCTCTCTCTCTCTCTCGTGTGTGTGTGTGTGTGTGTGTGTGTGTGTTCTTTTTCCTTGTTCTTTAAGAAAATTTATTGGTGGGAAAGAGTTCCCAGTTGACACCATCCCAGGGGCTCCTCAAGATGACTGGCTGATCTGTTGTAGCCATTCGACAGGCATACATTAAGAGCTTGTCTTGTACCAAGCCCTGAGCTAGACCCTTTGGGCCTGTCCTTACCTGAGCCCTCTCATTTGCAAATAAGGAAAGTGGAAATCAGAGAGTTTAAACATCTTGCCCAAAGTCACACAGTGATAGAGTTATGCTTCAAAACCCAAGCCATCACCGAAGCCCATGCCTCTCCCTGAGAGTTCTTTCCTCCAAGGACTTGATCGCCTGGCTTGGGAAACAGTGTGTGCCGCTCCAAGTACAGTTCAGCCTCAATGCAGGCAGTTTGTACCCCCATTTACATATCAGTACCTTCCCATTTTCCCATCCCACACAAGGAGGTGACCACCACGCAATAGGGGGTGAGTAATGAGTAAGATTCCATGCAGTGAAGAGGATTTGAACCATCAAGTGAAAGGGCCAGAGAGAAGAAGGTTTACAGCTGGCCTGGACAGCCAAGGAAGGTGTTTGGCTGAAATCTTGGTAAGCGAGTTGAATGCCAACCCACTGAATGAGGTTGGGAGAGAAAAGGGCATTTGGACTGAGAGAGCAGAATACATAAGGAAAGGGATAGTGCTGGAGAAGTATTTGTGTGTTTGGGAAATAGCTCAAACTTTAGCATAGGCTGGATTCATGCCGAGAGAGCAGGCAATAAAGTCAGAAAAGCAGGCTGAAACCAGATGAGGGAGGATTGTGAATGCCAGCTACAAGCCCCAAACCCTATTTCTCAAGCAATAGGGAGAGCCCTTGAATAGGGCAGAGATTCCCCTTGAGCCCCAGAGCAAGAGGAATCATTTATTCACTCAATCAACATTTTGAGAGCACTAGTCTGGTTATGCATTAGTATATACAACAAGCAACCTCAAAATCAAGTCTTAAAATAACCATTTGGCTTTGCTCATGATTCTATAAGAGAGTTCACCCATGACACTCATGGTGCCAGCTGAGATTGACTCTCAAAAGGGCAATTTTGCACCCGGCTGTCAGCCAGCTCACCAGCATGCTGACCAGAGCCCCCACACTGGCTTCTCCATGTGCTTTGGGTTTTCTCACAGAATAATGGCTTTAGGACAGCTGGACACACTTGGCAGCTCATGGCTCTGAGAGAAAGTGTCTCCAGAGGCTCAGATGGTGACTGCAAGGCA